TCATTCCCACCAACAGTGTAAGAGGGTTTCCCTTTTCTCTGCACCCTCTCCAGCATTTATTGTTTGTAGATATTTTGATAGCAGCCATTCTAACTGGCATGAGATGGTACCACATTTTGGTTTTGATTTGCATTTCTCTGATATGTGTGATATTGAGCATCTTTTCATGTGTTTGTTAGCCATCTGTATGTCTTCTTTGGAGAAATATCTGTTTAGTTCTTTGGCCCATTTGTTGACTTGGTCATTTATTTTTCTGGAATTGAGCTGCATGAGCTGCTTGTATATTTTTGAGATTAATCCTTTGTCTGTTGCTGTGTTTGCTATTATTTTCTCCCATTCTGAAGGCTGTCTTTTCACCTTGCTTATAGTTTCTTTCATTGTGCAAAAGCTTTTAAGTTTAATTAGGTCCCATTTGTTTAATTTTGCTTTTATTTCCATTACTCTGGGAAGTGGGTCATAGAAGATCCTGCTGTGATTTATACCAGAGAGTGTTTTGCCTAGAAGAGCTAACACCTGTCCTACTCAAACTGTTCCAGAAAATTGCAGAGGCAAGTAAACTACCAAACTCATTCTATGAGGCCACCATTACCCTAATACCAAAACCAGACAAAGAAGCTACCAAAAAAAAAAAAAGAAGAAAGAAAAAAAATTACTGGCCAATATCGTTGATGAACATAGATGCAAAAATCCTCAACAAAATTCTAGCAAACAGAATCCAACCACATATTAAAAACATCATACATCATGACCAAAAGGGCTTTATCCAAGTGATGCAAGGATTCTTCAGTATTCACAAATCAATCAATGTGACACACTACGTTAACAAATTGAAAGATAAAAACCATATGATTATCTCAATAGATGCAGAGAAAACCTTTGACAAAATTCAATATCCACTTATGATAAAAACCCTCCAGAAAGCAGGCATTGAAGGAACATACCTCAACATAATGAAAGCCATATATGATAAACCACAGCAGATATTATCCTCAAAGATGAAAAATTGAAAGCATTTCCTCCTTAAGTCAAGAACAAGACAAGGGTGCCCACTCTCATCACTACTACTCAACATAGTTTTGGAAGTTCTAGCCACATCAATAAGAGAAGAAAAAGAAATAAAAGGACTCCAGATTGGAAAAGAAGAAGTAAATCACTCACTGTTTGCAGATGACATGATCCTCTACATAGAAAACCCTAAAGACTCCACCAGGAAATTACTAGAGCTAATCAATGAATACAGTAAAGTTGCAGGATATAAAATTAACACACAGAAATCCCTTGCATTCCTATACACTAACAATGAGAAAACAGAAAGAGAAATTAAGGAAACAATTCCAATCATCATTGCAATGAAAAGAAAATACATAGGAATATATCTACCTAATGAAACAAAAGACCTATATATAGCAAACCATAAAATACTGATGAGAAAAATCAAAGAGAACACAAATAGATCGAGAAATATACCATGTTCATGGATTGAAAGAATCAGTATAGTGAAAATGAGAATATTATGCAAAGCAATCTATAGATTCAATGCAATCCGTATCAAGCTACCAACAGTTTCACAGAACTAGAACAAATAATTTCACAATTTGTATAGAAATACAAAAAACTTGAATAGCCAAGGAAATCTTGTGAAAGAAGAAAGTAACTGGAGGAATCAACCTGCCTGACTTAAGGCTATACTGCAAAACTACAGTCATCAAGACAGTATTGTACTGGCACCAAGACAGAAATATAGATCAATGGAACAAAATAGAAAGCCCAGAAATAAATCCACACACCTATGGACACCTTAGCTTTGACAAAGGAGGCAAGAATATACAACGGAGAAAAGACAATCTCTTTAACAAGTTGTGCTGCGAAAACTGGTCAACCACTAATAAAATAATGAAACTCAAACACTTTCTAACACCATACACAAGAATAAATGCCAAATGGATTAAAGATCTAAATATAAGATCAGAAATCCTACAGGTTCTCCATCTTTACAGGCTTCTAGCCAGAGCTACCAGTTCCCAGTTCACTCTGTGAATAAAAGATTTTAGAGGATCAAGCAACATTCTGACAAGTTATCTTAATGTTAATGTGGCAACAAATTTTAAAATGATGAACAAATCACTCATCCTTGTACAAAAATGTATTTAATCCATTTTATGTGTAAATATGTAATATGCATATTAATTCAAAGTGAAATCTATATGTTATTGGATTTAAAGCTATGGGGTAGGAATTCAGAATATTGGCTTAATTTTTTATATTTTAGGTGCTTACTGTTTATGATTCTAGCTTCTAAGTTGCATATATAAACTGTTTTAATAGGCACTTATGTTTAATGCTTCTTTTTATATATCAGATTTTCAATTTTTATTCTAAAACAGGAAATTTGGAAGTATACATAAAATGATTGAGTCAAGGTAAATTGCACACTCAAGTTGAGAGATCTTATAGTTAAATATAAGAAGATTCAGTTATTTTTAAAATTTATACTTTTGTTACATTGAAAGTGAAAGTCACTCAGTTGTGTCTGACTCTTTGTGACCCCATGGACTCTAGAGTCCATGGAATTCTCCAGGCCAGAATACTGGAGTGGGTAACCTTGCCTTCTCCCTGGGATCTTTCCAACCCAGACATCGAACCGAGGTCTCCCACATGCTAGGCAGGTTCTTTACCTGCTGAACTACAAGGGAAGCATGTCCTTCTCAGTTTTAGATACTCATTTAAAAAATTATCAAGGGAGTGTGTTAATTTTCCTTAATTTCAATATTGAAAGTGAACACTATACCAATTAAGTCAAAATTTTAGCGTGTGAGGTCAGATATCAATATTTTTCAAAAGCTCCTCAACTTTTAATGTGCACGGGAATAACCTAAGGATCTTGATCAAAAGCAGATTCTGATAGTAAGTCTCATGTATGGCTTGAGATTATACATTTTAAATAAAATCTCTCAGATTTTCCCACTATTTCTCATCTATCAACCACTCTGAGAAACAAGATGCTAGAGGATCTCTTGTTTTGGGTGCCTTTCACTGGAGTTCTTTCAGATTCAAGGAGAATCCACCATACCCATGCATTGAAAATCTTTAACTAAGGGTTTGCTGTGGCTGCAGGATTCTGACATGTTTGGAGAAGAATACTGTGTCTGGAATGCCACCTTAAAAGTGAGCAGACGATGACTGAAGCTGCTTCAGTGTGCCAAGTAAAATAAGTGAGAAAGAAAGGTGGAGTTGGTAAAGGTCAGATATAGAAAGAACATAAACAAGGAGTAAACAGATCATTCTTATAATTATTCAGAAATTAAAAATTTGAAGAGACACATAGAAGCCATTCTTTCAGTTAAGACAGGGTATATGTTCTGATTTAGCTGATTTATATATATTCTGGACTATATAGAGCAGACTACAAATTATGCCTATTTGTAATTGTACCCATTTTACCTTCTTTTTATAGTACTGATGAAAATTAAGTCAAATAATATGAAAATATAAAACAAATAATATGAAATTTAAGTAAAATAATATGAAATAATTGAAAATGAATACTTGACATTGATGAAAGAATGGATATTAAAATACATGGGTGGTAAGTAAAATTATGTTTTATTTATTTGTGGTGTATTTGGACACTGCAGGTGAATAAGGCAGCACACTACCCAAAGAACTTTGATCTGTCAGTAATGAGTAAGAGGGTTTGATCTGAGAAGAGGCAGAAGACAACTGGATATTTACAGTTTCATGTGAATTTATACTTACCAGATGTCAATGCCCAGAAGCTAGAAAAGACCAATATGAGGGGAGAGAAAAGATGTTTCCAACATAAAACTGACAAGAAACAGCAATTGTTTATAACTTCCATGGCAAAAGTGCATGAACCTCATGAAAGTGATACAACTTACATAATTTTGGCTTATTATGAGCAGTTGTTAACATAAATTTACTGTTGTACTTTAGTGGTAAGGTTGTGTTGGATGGACACTCTGTGACCCTGTGGACTCTAGCCTGCAAGGCTCCTCTCTCCGTGGGATTTCCCAGGCAAGAATACTGGAGTGGGTTGCCATTTCCCTTTCCAGGGTATCTTCCTCACCCAAGGACTGAACCCACATCCCGTGCATTGGCAGCTGTATTCTTTACCACTGAACCTCCAGGGAAGCCCTTTACATAAACAGTATAGCATTAATGATTTAAAGATAAAAATATATTGGGCAATTTTAATAAAAACTGTTGTTATTGAACATGATAATTTGAATCTCTTTGATAAGTCTTATCATGAGATTCTGTATTAACTCTGCATTTGATATTTTTGCTTGATCAACACAAGTTTAAAAAATTTTGATTATTTTCATTAAATCAAATGAAATAAAAATGAACATCACATTGAAGAGATCTAGCATAAAGAAATACAATCTCACAGGAAAAGTAGAAGATTAATGTGTAGAAGGAAATTATTGGGAAGACCTTACATTTAACCACAATTACCTAGGGGCAATAGGTTATTTTGAGTAAAACCACAGTTCCTGAAGCCTGGTTCCATTCTTGCCTCTGTCTTTATTAAGTTTGGGATTATGGGCATTTACTCAAAGTAAACAAGTTTCAATTTATTCATCTTTCAAATGGAAACAATACTAGGGCTTGCTTTGAGAGATATCATAAATATTAAGAAAGTTGTCTAATGTAAAGTGCTTGCTATTTTATACTATATTAATAATAATATGTTATTACATTATGATGATAATCATATTCTTGTTATTTGTATTTTTTATATTGCACTGGAGTTTCTGTAATTCTCAAGAGTCTCTGACATTATTCTTGATATTTCTCCATACATAATCAATATAACACAAATTCAAAGGAACTAGCCTGGAAGGAATTTGGGAAATGTATTGTATGAGGAAATGATCCTGAATTTCCAAAAATTTGAACAAAAAAACTAAAACACTGTATATCTCAGCAAAACAAAAGTTTATTTCTGATATGATCCCAACATTGAGTCTATTCACCTATACTTTCCTAAGGTCCAGAATTTTCTTCACAGCCAACTTGACATCCTTATTCCGCAAACTGTAGATCAAAGGATTCAGCATGGGAACAATGCAGGTATAAAGCACAGAGGACATTTTCCCCTGGTCCATGGGGCTCACAGATGATGGCTGCAGGTACATGAATGCTGCAGATCCATAGAAAACAGCAACAGCCAAGATATGGGAACTGCAAGTGCTGAAGGCTTTGGACCTGCCCTCTGTGGAGTGGATGTGGAAGATTTTGTAGAGGATGTAGATGTAGGAGATAAGAATAGTCAAGGCAGGAATCAGGACATTGAAAGAACTGCAGACTAGAGCCAATAACTCGTTGAAATAGATGCTAGAACAGGATAGCTCCATGAGTGGAAAAACATCACAGAAATAATGGTTAATAATATTGGCCTTGCAGAAATAGAGTCTCAACATGAGGCAAGTATGGAATGTCGATTGAATGATGCACAAGATATAAACTGCTGCTGTGAGCTGGAAGCACCTATAATAAGACATGATGGCATTATAAAGCAAGGGGTTACAGATGGCAACATAGCGGTC